TAAAACATGACACCAAAAGCATAATTCATTACCATGCTCTAACTAACTAAGCTAACCATCCAGCTCCCAAACAGCCTTTAATGTAAAGGGCAGTGGATGCCAGAAGCTCTACTTCAGGTGCTGCTAAAGCATCCTCTAATAAGGTCTAAAATGTATAGTAAACGGCAGTGGAAAGGGTGTGGTTTCTGCTCCAGCTAAAGGATTCACTGACCTTCCTTACAAACTCAAAGCAATGTGAGCAAAACCTCCTCTAAAACCCATAAAACATTTAAGTTTTATGGATCTTGCATAATCTTTGATAAGAACTTATACACTTGTGCCCCAAATTTTAAGGTATTGGACATTCTATAGATGCAGTGATTGTCCCAGCTAGATCTATTATCAGTCTTCCAGTGAGTAGTTATGTTGTTCATTTGGAGAGTCAGGGTGAAAGACAGAAAGGTGATGTAGCACTTCTGTTTTTAATAATTAGAGCTTAAAGTAGCCATTAGTCCTTAGTCCTTACAAGGGACATGAAGAAGCTACCAGGAGTACTGAAAAGTGTCTTTCCACCTAGTGAGATGGTCTGGCAATTTCCCAGTTTTGTGTCTGTGGTTCAATAGACATATTTCAAGGTGGTATGTGACCACCTGATGCAGAGTCTGGGCTTCTCTGCAATAAATCCCTTGTCCAACACAGAAGGTGCAGACTTGCTACTGGCAAGATTGAAGCAAATGGCTGGACAAAGCTGTCCTGATGTGGCAGCACTTTCCTACAGGAGTTCAGCCTTGGTGAAAGCATCAGTCAGGAGTTGGACTCCTAGAAAGGTGACAGTATCTCCTGACAGGAACTACCAACCACTTCTGGGTAGTAATGTTGCCATTATTGGAGGTGGCAGGCAGATGGCGTTCCTTCTGATGTATTTGGGTTAGTAGCTGAGCCAGCCAAAGGGAAATGGGATGATTAAATGAGAAACAAAGGGATCATTGGTTAAAAAGAAGACTTCATCTGGGAACCAAAAACCTTAACAAATAATCTCTTGGACCTTGAGACACATATTTTCCCTGAAAAGTATCCATTTTTTTTTCCAGCAAGATTTTGTTAAGTTATTGAAGAATGAGTTAAGGGTTAAGTTATTGAGGAATGAACTAAGATGAATACATGGAGGTGTTATTTAATGGCATACTGTTCCAGAAATATGAAGACCTGCAGCAGATTTAAGTTCCAACTCTTGCTATAACTTTTTAAAAGATGGTGAAATTATCAAAATGCACATGAATCAAGTTTTAATATACTGTGTGATGTGTGGATGAGGCTGTCCATTGTAACATTTCTTTGAATTCTCAGGCATGGTTTGGCAGTGCAAAAACTTTGTAACATTAACAAATTCAATAAAAAGTAAATATGTGGGGAAAAAAGCATAATTCCTTTTTAAAAAGTAATAAGCTGGATTTAATAAAAGTGAAAAACTTTTGCTCTGCAAAAAACTGCTATAATTAAAAAAAAACAAGTTATGGACTGGGAAAAATATATATACCAATCACATATCTCACAAAGGATTTATGTACAAAATATCTCAAGAATTCTTAAAACTCAATAATAAAGAAAAAATGACCCAATTTAAAAAATGGGTTAAAGATCAGAATTAGACACATCAAAGAGGACATAAAATTGACAAATAAGTACATGAAAAGATGCTCAACATCATTAGCTATTAGTGAAATGCAAATTAAAACCATGATGAGATACATCTACACACCTATTACAATGGTTAAAATTTTTTAAATGCCGAAATAATCAAAAAGGATGTTGAGCAACTGGAACTCACAAACACTACCAGTGGGAATACAAAATGGTACAGCCACTCTGAAAGACGGTTTGGCAGTTTCTTATAAAGTTAAACATACACTTACTATATGAACCAGCAATTTCGGGTATTTAACTCCTAGATATTTACCCCAGAGAAATGAAAACTTACGTTCACACAAAATCTATACATGAATGTTTACAGCAGCTCTTTGCTTGCTTGCCAACAAATGGAAACAACCCAGTGTTTCTTCAGCAGGTACTGTGGGACATCCATATTAGAAATATGTCTTTATGACAGAATCAACTTTAATTAAAGAGAAACCCAAGCAAATCACTTGGACCTAGAATACCTTTGTACTCTCTGCTGTGCTGAAAAATATTCCACTCTGTGCTGAACAGAAGGCTGAATTAAGACTTAGGAAGTAAACAAATATCTTGTTTGCTGCTTAATCGTATTTTACTATCAGCTCTATCACAAATGATGGATTTCTCTTGTGTTTTCCTGCCATTCCATGTGTAAACAGAGTTAGGACTCTTGTCAAATTGATTCCTAGATAGCCTGTCTATCCCCATCTGAAATGGAAACTACTCTTTGTACAGATATCAAGGTTTATGAAACATGTTTTAAGTATTTGCAGGAAGTCACAAAACATGGCTAGCAAAGGAAACAGTTCATTTGTCCTTTTTGTTAACCATTCCCGATACAAGTGAACTTAAACTCATTTTTTTCTTTCTCCTTCCACATGTACTATAAAAACTCACAACTTCCCTTGATTTGGTGTAGCTGTTTAAAATTTGCTGTCTCCATGTTGCAGCTGTTTGTAAGCTTGAAACAAGCATCTGACAGTTTTTTTAACCTGAGCCACATCATGAAACAGTTTCTTCCACAGCTTCAATGGAGTGGCAGTAGGGATAGGCGATTTGAGACACCAAAAGAGGACTCCTAATGCAGAGCTTGGTAACTGATTCCATGCGGGGAGGAGGGAAGGCTACAGGGGTAAAAGGAGAGAGTAAGTAGAAAGGAGAATCAACATTGACGTCTTTCTAGTACGAGTGGCTGGCAATGCTGTTATCTGAATTAGGTAATACAGGGGAAAAATTGGCAGAGAATAATAAAAGATTTGAAGGGAATGATACCTCTATTTTACAAGTTTATTTTAAAAGTTTGCACAGCTGTGTTATATTTTGCTATAAGGATCTCAAGTTTGACTGTTACAGAAGCAATGTGGTCGTTAATACAAAAGGAATCACCAGGGGTAATAGCTTTGAAGGGAGCTGTTATATTTAACAGAGAACATCAAGTCTTAGTCAGAAATAATGGAAAGTTAATAGTCAAAAGTTTTTCTGTTGATCCCTAAAATGCAAAAGGAGAGAGAACCCTTAGAACCTATTGAGCACACGATAGAGAGGCTTTAGAAGAAGGAATCCAGGGCTTCTCATACATGGTGAATTTGGTCCTCCCTTGTGGCAACCTTCCAGGAAGCCAGACCCTTCCTGCTCAAATGATGTGGTTTCCTAAGGGGCATATAAATAGTTCTTTCCCCAAAGGAGTTAAAAATAGAAGCCAAAGACCCCCCACACATCAGAGTACAGCTGTCCATGTGGCCAACAGAGGAGCAGCACTCACAAAAGCAGCTCTGGGAGAGTGTGGGGCACAGCTACAACACATGGGGGTGCAGAGTGCAGGAGATGCAGTCAGGCCCAGAGCAGAGCCACAACAGCGCAGGGAAGGAAGGGGGCGGCTGGCCAACCAGCAGGATGTGGTGGATAGGAGGAAAGCAGAACAGGTGAGGGGCTTATAAGGATACACAGAGAGGGTAGCAAAGACCTACTAGAAACAGTCTTAGCCAGGTGACTCTAGAGACTGTATATTTTTAAGAAAGGTGGGAGAAAAGTAAAACAAGGGAATCAGGCCAAAGTGTTTGCCTTTTTCACACAGGAAGGAACCTGCCAGAACAGACCACCACACTGCCCAACTGGGGACTCCCAGGACTCCCAGGCCCACTCTAGGACAGTTTCAACTTTTAGAAGGCAGTCCTGAGTCCTGGGCATACCTCGTTGCTTCTCACAGTTAAATTTTATGAACCTATTGAAAGAATTTATATTGTACATCTTGAAATACAGAACAAGATCTATACCAGCAATTTTAGTCCAGGCAACATTATGGGTCTATAGGCCATTGCCTGATCTTCTAGGAATTTTTTTTTTTAAAGCATCTAACAGCAGACGTTTGTAATCTGCTATGATCTTTTGTTATGTAACCTCATTAAGGGTTATTTATTTATTTACTTATTTTGTCTTTTTCCGTGTCCAGCAACGGATCGCAACCCTCAGTGTTGCCCCCGTACCGGACCGGGGACCGGCAACGGGATTGCAACCCTCGGTGCTGCTCCCGCGCCTCACTCAGCCAGTGAGCGGGAACCGGTCCGTATGTGGGATCTGAACCCTCGGGCGGGAGCGCCGCCCTATCCAGTGCGCCACCGGGCCGGCCCTCATTAAGGGTTATTTAAAGAGTAATTTAAAGTTACTGGTATTCTTCAGACAATTAAACAACCTATTGTCCCTTAAGTAAGCCATCTGATAATATGAACTTAATTATTAACAATTCATTTTCTAAATCCCTCAAACTGCAAATAAGGATTTTAATTTATTTGTTTTGTTATAACCATTCATATTGCTGACAGCCATAGTCAAAACTCCACAGACTAAGTGCTAGTATCTTCCAGAAGCAGTGTGATATACCAGCTAAGAGACAAAAGCTGAAGCCGGTGCTGGGGCTAGACGGTATATGCTTAAATTCCAGCTCCACTGTGCACTAGCTGTGTGTCTTTGGGCAAATTACTGACACTTCCTGACTTAATTCCCTCATCTGTAAAATGGGAATGATAATAATAGTACCTACCTAGGGCTGTTGTGAGGATTAACTAAGCCTAGAATAGAACCTCAGTAAGTACAGTGCTTGTTAGTGAATCCATAAGGCACTTAGAGCAATGACTGGCAAATAGTAAGCACTATAGGCGTTAATTGTCATTTCCTTTATTTGTTGATGCTCTTCGTGGTGATTTTAGTAGTTATATTAGGGGCATGTGAAGCTTGCAAACATGCCAAACCAGTTCTATGATTCTCAAAAGACTAAAAACTAATATAACAATAACGTTATATTTTTAATATTCAGTTAATCTCAGTTTAATAAATCTCTTTATCTTCCCCAGAGTTGAAAACATGTCAATGAGGTTGGAAGAAATCAATGAAAGAGAAAATTTTATGAAAACTTCCCTACAGACTGTCGACCTGCGACTTTCTCAGATGGAAGAATTATCTAGCAGAATGGCGAATGCTCTTGAAAATCTGGCTGGAATCGACAAGTCTGACCTGATACAGGCCCGGTCCCGAGCTTCATCCGAATGTGACGTGACCTATCTCCTCAGGCGGAGCAGCATCAACAGCACCGACGGCTACAGCATGTACCGGTATCATTTCAACGGAGAGGAGTTATTGTTTGAGGATACTTCTCTCTCCATGCCACCAGGGACAGGATTCAGGAAAAAAACCTGTTCCTTCCGTATGAAGGAAGAAAAGGACGCGAAAACGCATCTGGCCCCAGCACGCCAGGACAGCCTGCACCTGTCGCCCAGCGCAAGCGCCCCGACGTCACCCGACCGCGGCCGCCTGGCGGTGGAAGACCTGCAGAGCTCTGCGGGGCCCAAACTCGGTCCAGACGTCGAGATCTCAACCGAAGACGAGGAACGGCAGGCCGGCTCTAAAAAAGAAGAAACTGGTTCCCCGAGTTTAAATCAAACAGAAGTTATGCACGGACAGAACAAATCAGATTTTCAAAACACTCAGCTCACAGTGCAAACGACCAAGATAGAAGGCACTATTTCCTATCCCCTGGAGGAAACCAAAATGACACGCTCTTACCCTGATGAAACGTTCCATGCTTTCAAAAGAATGAAGTCCAGAAGCTTTGTCTATTCCCAGGGAAGAAAGCTGGTGGGTGGGGTCGACGACTGGCACACCGAGTGCAGCTCGGTCACGGGCGCAGTTGAGCAGTGGACGGCAGAATGGAGATGCCAGGTTCAAAAAGTCACACGTTCTCGCAGCACCGACATCCCTTCCTTCGTGTCGGAAGTTGCCGTGCAAGCGGAGCAGACGGAACGATTTGCGGATACCGAAGATGAAAACTGTGTTTCTAGAACACTCCCCCAACTCTCTCGTTTATCCCTCGCTGTTACGGACAGAACTGGGAAGGAAAACTTACTGTCTGTGAAACCAGAGCAAACTTTGGGATTCCCATCTCTAAGGTCAAAAAGTTTACACGGCCATCCTAGTAATGTTAAATCCATTCAGGGCAAGTTAGACAGATCCGGACACGCCAGCAGTGTAAGTAACCTAGGAGTTGTGTCCGGAATCACAACGCCAGAATACAAGGTTAAGCAAGAGAAAACTTCCACAGAAACCGAGTGCTAACCTGCTTTGTTTCTTTGATTTTTTTAAAACCATCAGAACTGGTTATCTAAGCATCATAAATTACTGACAATGTTTTAATTAAAAATGTTTGGAAATTCGGACTTAATTTAAAACCTAATGCACTAAACTTAAAGTAGTATTTTGTTACGTATGTTAGTAAACGTAGTTTTTTTTAGTTGGAGTAGGATCTAAGGAAAGTGACAATACTCCAACCAAGATAAATTAGTTAATCAGTATGCAAGATTATACAATCTGTTCATTCCTGAGGGCCACCAACTAGCCTAAGAAATGTCTTTGGGCATCGACATCATCATCAAGTCACTTAAGGAGTAAGAAACTATGTAGGAAAGAGAAATTAAACAGAAAGCAAATACAGAAAAGGAGGAGTGAGGGGAAGAAAAGTAATGTCATGAGGAGCAAGCAGTGTGAGGAGCTGTAAACATAATATGTTTTTTATGGGGGTTTTTTTGTTTATGTTTTAATGTTTTAAGTTTTTAAATTACACAATGGGGAAAAAAGTACACAATTATATCAAACATCACACTCTAATAATGCAGGTTGACTAAGAGTTTAATTAATGTGTAAAAATAAAGTATCCAATATGCACTTTACTGTTGTCATGTACTCCTCAATAGCAAACACAAATTAACTGTACCCCCACCTTGCTTCAGGTATGGGACCCAAACCTCGGTGTTGCTCCCGCGCCTCGCTCAGCCAGTGAGCGGGAACCGGTCTGTATGTGGGATCCGAACCCTCGGGCGGGAGCGCCGCCGGGCTTCCCAAGCGGCGCACTATCCAGTGCGCCACCGGGCCGGCCCCTGAAAGGGACTTTTGATGCAATATTGTCTAAGGATATTTGTCTTGCAGATCCAAATGGGGACATCGTTGTGGAATTTCAGCACCTGTGGCAGGGCCAAGTATTCTTGACACCTTTCTTACAAACCTTAAATCATACCATATAGCTATTTCTGTTGAGGATTGAGGGTTATAAATATTGAGGGTTTTATATATATAATAATGTAATAACAAGCAGTCTGGCGCACTGCCCTATAAATATATTATACACATTACATTATTCTCAATGCCATCACAATTTTGTCTAAATATGGGGAATCAAATATTAGGAACTAATATCCAATCTAATCAAACATAGTAGTGTCTAATACATCAAAATAAGAACACAACATATGTTCAAATCATTTAATATAGAACTGCCTTAGTAAATAAATAAGAATTATATTTCTGTTCTTTGTAAAACATAAGAAACATAATAATAAGATTTTTATTCTTGTATCCCCAAAACTCTGGCACACTCATAAGTGAAGTATAATATGGTATTTGGTATAAAGTAAGCTGTTTTGGATTTTGACCAATGGAAATTAAGACTTGAACTATCAAAAGACCTCATTACAAATGGTTCTCTCCTATGAGACTGTATGACTGTTGAAATTCTGAACATGTATCTCATCACCATGAGGTTCCTGTAGTCTTCCATAATTTAGGTTTCAAAATCTAAAAATTAAACTGTTAGTGTTGTCATATAGTTATTCTACATCGAAAATGCATTTTTGCTCAACGTATTTTGGAAATAAAGAGAAATAAAATCAATCTACTATGTCCTACATAAGAAAATACCTTTAAAGAAATGTTTTATTAATAAGATACAGAGAATCACACAAAAAAATTTATATGACTGACTTATTTTAAGATGAATATCATTGTAAACACCACTCAGACTAATAAAATTTGCCAGCCGTCTAGAAGTCTCAGAAGTTCCAATCTCAAGCACCTCTCTCCCCACAAAAGTAACCACTATCTTTTTATAGAAATCACTTCCTTGCTGTCTCAATGACATTGCTGTAAAACAAATGACTCAAAGACAGGTGACTTAAAACATCCACTTGATTGTACTCCCGGATTCTGTGGTTCAGGAATTCAAATAGGTGCAGCAAGAATGCCCCTAATTTGTAGAGTTTGCCCATTTCCATGGTGTAAATTCTGCTACCATAGCCAGTTTCAAGCTACAACTGTGGCATCCCTGAATGTGGAGTTGGGACGAGAGGCTGACAATTGGCTCCCACAAGCCAGTACGGGCGGGTTACAGAATGCCACTGTATACTGTGTGGTGTTCAGGGCCTCAGCTGGTGTCTAGAAGTGACTCAACAGCTGGAGGCTGGAATCATCTAGAGACATTTTTACTCACATGTCTGAAAATCCATGCTACCTGTCAGTTGGGATTTCACACTCAGTATAGAGCATGTAAAAGTGGCCTCTCCATGTGGCCTGGGCTTCCCTGTGGCATGGCAGCCTCATGATAATCAGATTTCTCACATAGTGGTTCAGGGCTCCACAAGTGAGTGCCCCAGTAAGCAAGGAGGAAATGCCATCGTTTTTTATGACCTAGCCTCAGAAGTCGTGCAGAGTCACTTCCATTGTATTCTATTGTTTATAAGGGAGTCACTAAAGCCAGCTCTGATTCAAGGACAAGGGTCATACATGTGTGAGTGTTTGAAAACTTGGCAGACATGTTTTAAAATCACTACACTTGCATTTCATTATAGTTTTATTACCCGAATGTTCCTTAGCACTGTAGTTTAATCTTTTTTTTTTTTATCTCTTTTAATCTGCTGATTACCCCTCTCTCCCTTTCTGTTCTTAGCAATTTATCTGTTGAAGAGCATGGGCCATTTGTCTTGCAAAGTTTTTCACAGTGCAAATTTTGCTTATTGAATATTCATGGGCAGGTTGTCATGTTCTACTGTTTCTGCAGGCTGGCAGGATGACTCAGAGGCTTATCCAGGCTTAGGTTTGATCCCTTTGGCAAGGCAACTTAGGTGGTCTGGCTTCTTTTGTTATGAGACACATTGGTCTGCTTGTCTCTCTTTTTGTGACATCAGCAGCTATTGACCTAGGCTTAATGCCTATGTCCCTTAATTCATAGGAGGCTGAAAACAGTCATATTCAAATTTCATTTTTTATTTTTTATTTATTAGTTGGAATGCTTTACAATGATATAATTCCTTTCATCTACTAGTTGGTTACACAGTAGTACAGTTTACACTATACAGCAGGAATAATGATTAATTGATTTTTCCTGTTTATTTGCCAGTTTTCAAAATAATGAACTGGTTCTCTATCATCCTCCGAAGGTGACTGATAGTTTGCTTTTGTAAAAAATACCATTGTGATCTTATGGTTTTAAACATATGTGATGTGTTTCGATCCATTGTTAATTATTATCCTCTCCCATTTTCTTTCCTTGAATACCTTGAATGTGTTGCTCCATTTTCTTCTGGCATAAAGCATTGCTGCCAAACTGTCTCAAGATAGTCTAATATTCTTTCACCTAAAATTCACTTGCTTTTTGGGGTCTAGATACCCAAAGAAATTTTCATTATTTTTTCTTTAAAATCTAATTGTTTTACATGAATGTGTCCTATTGTTGGTAAGTCTAGATCAATATTCTCAGGTGCAGTGTGTTCTTTCAATATGTAGTTTCAAATATGTATATTTTTTATTTCAAGGAAGTTTTTTGAACTATATTTGTACTATTTCTTCTGTTTCCTATCCCCTCCTCCTCTCATTTTCCAGGGACTCCTATTATCTGTATACTGGATCTCCTTTGCCTGTCTTCAATATTTGCTACTTTCTCTCTAACCTATTTTATCTCTCTTCATTGCTTTTTGATTTTTAAAATTTTCCCTTTTTTTCATTCTCTACTTCTCTTCAGGCATAATCAATTGTATTTAGTCTTGATTTCATAATTAATTTTTTCTCTCATTTCTAACTTTATTTTGAATTGTTTATTTCATTTTGAATGTTTCTGGTTCTGATTTGTATAGTTCTTTCATGTCTCATATCATTTTCTTAGTATCTTTCGGCTCACTTTGAAATAGTGGATATTCATCTTGATCTGCTTTGTGAGCATGTCTTTCTGGTTTTATAGTCTGTAAGAGTGCTATTCTGTTCTTATTTTCTATCATTACAATAATTTTCTATAGAACTCGACTTCCTTACTTGCCCGTGATTATTTTTATGTGAAATTGGTTTTCTTGAACTTCATGAAGGAGCTCACTGCAGTTTTAAGGATAGCTTTTCTAACTTCACAGAGAACTTCTTCTGTTTTTACTATGTAGTGTTTTTAAATTTTTTTAAAAGTCATCTTACTTTGTGGAAGTTTTCTGGTCTTCAATTTGTATCTGGACCTTCTTTATCCTTTGTCTCTATGTCTCTATTCTGCTCAATTTTGTTTACATTCCCAGAAGTGTGTTCTCAGTATGGGTCCTTTTCCTGGAAGAAAGCTTAATATGTTAGTTTCAAGAGTTCCTGCAGCTATATTACTCCGGTTCCTACATGCTAAAGCCATAGTTCCCTAAACTGTCATGATTTTTGAGAAGGCAGACACCCCTTCCTATATCAGATGCTATTCTCCACTTAACTGGTTGGGCCTTCCAGCAAATTATTTTTGGCTAATTTGGAGTTCCCCAGATGGTTCATTGATTTTCTTGGCTGATACTACAAAGGTCTTATGACTGCTATTGGTTTTTTCTCACTTGCTTATATTTTGGAGATAATGGGGATACTTAGATCTGTTGTAGATGTTGTCCTTGGTTTTGGAGTTTTGCTGTACAGTTGCTTTGTCTGTTTCTACATGGAGACTGAAAAACTGCTGAATTCTGCTGTCATCTACCAGAATTCTCCCTCAAGAAACAGATTTTTTTAATTACTTAATAGTCATCTTAAAAGACTATATACTCAGGCATTAGCATGGTTTTTCAGACATTATGTGCTCGTATAACCACTTCTAACCTCTTCCACTGCTACCACCATCACCTTCTTTTATCTGGACTATTATAATAGTCCCTCAACTAATCTCCTGATTTCCACCATGCTGTACCAATACAGCAGTTGGAGTGATTATTTTAAAATGTAATGCAAGTCAGATCATATCACTCTCAGCACAAAACACTGCAAAAGCTTCTCAACTTTTGTGGCCTATGTGAACTGGCCTATTGTCTTCCTCTGACCTCCTCTCCCACTGGATCAGGCTGCTTTAGCTGCACTGGCTCTCACCTCCAGGCATTTGCACTGCCCCAAATGCTCTTCCTCCTGATTTCCACCTGCCTGGCTTCCTCACAGCTTTTGGTCACTGCTAAAATCTCATCAAATCAGAAAGGTCTTTCTTGACCACACCCGACTCCCCACTGAAAAACAGAACTTTCCGCCTCGTCCCACGTTTAATTTTATTCACAGCACTTGTTGCCATCTGACATAAATATATATATTTATCTTTCTACCCAGAATGAAAGTGCTGTGAAAGTAGGAACTTTGTCTTCTTGT